CCGACTGGTTTGACCCGATCGCGGCGCGAGATGCGTTGATCGACAGCTCCGACGTTGTGGCATTCGGTGGGTATCTTTCCCGTTAGCTGCGGATTGTCTTTCGGGCTGTAATTGTCGATTCACTCGTTTCGGGTGGCAGTCAACATTGTCTCGCGAGGCACTTCCCGCCACTGCGTCTGTGCGTCTGGTCGGATGGGCCCCATTCTTGCTTCGATCGCTAGCCAGGACTCTCTTTGAACTGCCTTCCATCACACTATTACTTACATCCATTTAAGATCAAGTGATCGGTACAATGACTAGCGGAAGTTAATAATAAATCAGGGACACGAGCCTCTGCATTCATTCGTTTATCATGACACGAGTTCAGTTCAGTTTTTACAACAATTAACCATGCACTTTTGCGCCCCAATTTTGGTTGCTGAATTTTAGCCTCCCGTGTGGATAAAATAGCAGGATGAAGATCGGAATGTTGAAAGCCAATTCAAGTGGAAGATAGAGAATTCATATAGACTAGTGTAGAAACGAATGAGCGGCAGCGGCGGTAAACTGCAAATTGTCAAGTCTAGCCTCACGCACGGCTTGACCGGACACAGAAAACGCGATGAGGGTTATGCAGTTTATTTCTACGTAAACCGTAGTTCTGCAGTAAAAGGTAATCAATCAATCAACGATAAATTCAAACACATTTACGACTAGGTTATTTGACACCAGCACACAGAAAATTTCAAACGTAGCGGTACAGAATGACGTGTAAAATCGTGATACAGTCAAACCAAAACGGAGGTTTACAGATATAAGCACAGAAAAAAAGAACAGTAATAAGAAGTTACCGAATAATCGTTACTGAATAATCGTTCAATTTTGGTAATCTGTCATTTGGCATTGGAAATTCAGTGTAGCGCAGTCAAGGATATTGTCATTTAAAATCAGACTACTTGGATGTTCACCGTAGTCAAATTGCAAATGCTAAAACTTTCAAATTCTCTGGAGAATTTACAACTGGTGTTAAGAGAATAATGAGTGAGTATGCACGAACGCCACTGCTTGCGACACAGCCATAACACTGAGTGTCTCTAACCATCGGTGACCATGATCTTCGGGGTCCCAAGCCGGGAAGCCCAAGAGGACCCATGTGACCTTGTCTCATAGTTAAGACTTTCATCGCCTCGTACCAGCTCTTAGATTGACCACCCTTGACCCTTTTCCAACCGCTACCTGCCTCGGCAAACATCGCTCCCCGTGGCAACCTATTCGGTGACATGTGTAACACATGCCCCAACCAACGTAAGCAATTATTTGACCTCCATAGGGAGGTCATATAATTGCTCCAGTTGACGAGCGCGATTACTTAAAACTCTACGCCTAACCTCAGCATTGCTCGTCCGGTTACTCCACCAGACTCGTGCCATGCGACGTAGATAGCAGTGTTCGACCACCGACAATCTATTTTTATCCTTTACCCGTAGCGGCCAAGTTTCTGCACCGTAGAGCAACACTGACTGAACCGCTGAAACGTACACTCGACCTTTCCCGGACAGCTAGATGTCGCGACGGCGCCACAAATGTCTCAAGTTGGCAAGTGACATAATAAGGTTGCATTTATAAATTCTGGTGGGTTACGGAAAACGGACGTGGTCTTTCACACCGTGTTCTATTCACCTGACTGCGGTGTTTTGTGCTGCATGCGAGTCGTGATACCCGAGAATTAGAACAGTCAAGAAATGCTTTATGAATGACTTTTCAGCGCATTTCGCAACGTACAGATGAGCGATAAAGCAAAATGTTAAAAATATGACCAATAAATGATAATAGCTAACGTAAAAGGTTAGCAATAATAGGTATGTGATTCATTAAGATGCGCACGAAATAAGAAAACTTGCGGTAGTGCAATATATGAATGTGTTGGCGGGGAAAACTTCGAATTTGAAACGGATACGGGAATTGATGGATAGCTTTAAGGATTTCATTGTACAGAAGACCTTTGGTGGATAGGTCGCATGCTTCGAAACGCCTGCGATCAATGAAGTCAACGGCAATATTAAGAGGAACACCTCTGGATTTAGACAACAATTGAAAAGAGCGGACAACCACAGTGATGTCTTTATCTTTTAAACTCGAAAAAAAACTAAAGCGAGGGCAATGCAGCCAGAGGGGTACAATGCATGGATGGGGAACACCGAGTTTCCTAAATCTTTGAGTGTAAAAGGTTAACTTGCAAACTTTTGGGAAGATACGTTTGACATACATGATCATAAAACATAGCAAGATAAAATAATACCGAAATATTTTTACATATGAAGCTTTAGAGATAGGTGAACCACAAGTAGGGAGAGACGGGAGATTATTAAGAGCTGCTTGGTATGCTGATCCAGAATTAGGGTTAAAATGATTCCCGACACAGTTTTGAGTATCGAGCTCCGGGGGGTGGGGAACGGGGCGGGATGCAGATTAGTTATAAGTTTTAGTTAAACAGTATGGAAGATGATTGAGTAGAGCAGGATCGCTATGTAGACATCCAATAACAACATGATCTACTTACTTGCAACCAACGAATGGAACCATGGGGAATAGGAAGAATCTTTTGTACATAGAGAAGAAACCGATGACAGACTGGTTTCCTGAAACACACTGGAATTGATGGACGGCGGCGGAAAAACGTTTGGTACCGTGGGAAGTTAACTGTAAAGCAAACTGAGAGACTAGGAAAACATCGATTGGTTCTCACATTTTACTATCTGGGCAGCTATATCGCGTCCACTGAAGCAAGTGATCGACCTCCATAGATTACGTTGGTTGGGGCATGTGTTACATATGTCAACAAACAGGTTGCCACAGCAAGCGATGTTTACCGAGGCAGGCAGGAGATGGGAAAAGGTCAACAGTGGTCAGACGAAGACCTGGCGTGAGGGTATAAAAATCCTAACCAGGAAACTAGGTTACACAGGTCCCGTTAGGCTTCCTGGATGAGGACCGCGAGATTATGGTCACCGATGGTTAGGGACACCGAACGATATGGCTGGGTGACGCTCATGTATCTACTCATTATTCTCTTAACATCAGTCTATATAAGTTCTCCATCTTCCGCTTGAATTAACTTTCAACATTCTAATCTTCATTCTCCTCTTTTATCCAACTGGGACACCAAAATACAACAACCAAAACCGGCGCATGAAAGTGCATGGTTAATTGTTGTAAAAGTTGAAACTGAAACATGTTCCAAATCTATAGGAATTTGTTTCCTTTTCGGCCAGTATGACTTTTTGCTTTCATTCTCGGTTATGCAACCACACTTAATCATCCTCCCCGGTTCCCGTTCCCTGACACAAACCACAGGTAATGAAAATCATATTGGACAACGCATTTCCCATTCAACTGGTCAAAGTGTTAAGCGGTGTCCGTTGTGTGGATATCAGTCGAAATCGAGATAAACTCGGTGTGATCGATGACAACAGTACGCTTAGTGTGTTTTGTCTGAAAACCGGTGAACTTTTATTCCAGGTAAGTGTCTACGGGGCAACGACAGCTCATCTTGTGAAAACCACTGAGCGATTAGTTTGACCAATACCGTCTCTAAACTTTTCACTGGTATTATGCTACGGCGATTGTCTGCCGCACGTGAACGGTGTACGCGTGGGAACCAGGCTGGTTTTAGACCTGGTCGAGGTTGTATCGACCGCATCTTCACTTCGTTTGTGGATCCCCCTAGAACATTCATCTGCCTTGGCCTGGACAACCTGTCAGTGTTCAGCGTACATGCAAATCATGAAATGTTTTCCTTTTTCTAAAGTTTATTTTACCATGATTTGTTTGGCACGGTCTGGATTCAGACGTGTGAAATATACATATATATATATATATATATATATATATATATTTCCTCTTCGTCAAATCCTGGAACACAGAAACTCCTTTTGTAGACCCACCATATCCATCTTGCTGTATATGAAAGAGGCTTTCGACTTAGTGGCCCGCTCAAAACTCTGGCGCTGCCTCACTCTAAAGAGGGTTCCCGAGAAGTTTATTTCAATATTACAATCCCTATATACAAATATCCGAAGCCTAGTCTGAGCTTATGATACTTTTTCATCCGGGTTCACCAAGGAAGGTGGTGTTGAGCAGGATTACCCTCTCTCTCTCTCTGTTTTCATCTTAATTTGCGATAGATTTAATTCTTGAAACAACCTATCATCGTGCACGGGTAGCCGTATCGATTTATTCCCAGATGACAGACTGCCTGGTCTAGTGTATGCAGACGACATTCTGCTACTAGGTGAAGATCCAGATAAATTGCAAGCCTATCTGCATAGTTTGAGTGCTAGTGTCACCATGTTCGGTATACTCTTTGCTCTTTGTAAAATGTCCCTACAAGATTGGGTTAGTCCAACCCCCCACCTCACCATGACTGGGGAAGCAGTAGAAGTAGTGGACAAGTTTTGCTATCTGGGTAACTATATCTCACCTGGCGTTTAGCACTATTTCGCTAAGCGAAAGTCGATGTTGATGAAACATTTGTATCAAGAAAAAACAACAGAATATCTCGCATCGGTTTAATCACCCCACCACCACCACCTCCCTCCGCGGGGGTGGGGGAAACGAGAATGGAAGAAATCAGAAACTAGCATTCCACAGATTTTTCTCGTCATCCACACACACACCCTCCTTGTCTTAGCTGCTATTTTGAAATCCCCTAAAAACTGTTGGTTTTTCGATTTCTTTTACTTTACCGCTGTTCTCCTTGAGTTATATATATATATAATAATCTTGTTTGCAACACCAGGTGACTTTTGGATAGACAGTTCTTCCAGAGCCAATCCATTAAAGAATCAATTCGAGGATTTTGTAGGTGGGCCGTGTGCTTCCTGGGAAATTTTGTGCAGTCATTCACATACAAATTATTACGAAATATATATTTATCAAGCTCCCAGTGAGGCGGATTTCCAAATGGTTTCATATGTCGTTCAGATGTCGTTTCATGCACGCATTTTCCTCCTATTATTCATATGCAGGAACCAAATGTGATCAGTCTGGCATGGAATGCACTGAACAACGATTTACTCAGCTACAGCGGTAACGATCGGATTTCAATCAAAGCGGGCAACTTTTCTAGCTACTCACAACATGCAAAGGTAATTAAATCACCCATCCCCCGGGTATTTTTCTTTTTACTCTGCCCTAATCTATCACTTTTAATGTGTTCAGCATGTTTTGGAAAACGTGTCTGGGGAGAATACCCTTTGG